CTGAAAGCTGAAAAACGAGGGCCTGCAGGCCCTACCCCATTTCAGCCTATTTCTGGGTCTTTTCAGACCCAGAGTTTTCAGCCTGAAACGGAGGGGCCATTTTCAGGCCCTCATTGTTTTGACCTGCCCCTAAGACTCAGGCACGTAAACAGGGATGCGGAACAGGCCAGAAATAGCCTGTTCCTCACGAGTTTGAGCACGAGCTGCAGCTGCAGCCCCTGCCTCCCTTCGGCAGGCTCAGGAGGCACACCCGGTAGTACATAGGAAGTTCCCATGCACCTCACGGGTAGGTAGTTCAGTAGGCACGAGGTAGTCTTCAGGATTCGGCCGCAACACTCAGGAGGAGCGCTGCAGTAGTCTTCAGCGCTAGGTAGTATTAGCGCTAGTTGTAGTCTTCGGTGCTGGGCGCCATAGCTGTAGCTGTAGTCTTCAGCGTTGGGCGCTGGTAGATGGTAGATCGTGGAGTGGGAGAGAGACTGGCGGAGGCCAGTGATACTTACCTGTGGCACCATCGCTCCAGCGCCATCTTCGTGGTACCTGCATCAAGGCGCCAACTTCACAGGTTAGTACTGGACACAGAGAGAGAGAGAGTTCTTCTTCTTCCTCTTCTAAGTCCTCGTTCTCTTCTCACCCTCTCGCCACTTGACTTCTCAGACTATGACAGAGAGAGACAGAGTTGTGACTTGAGACTTGACGACATTGGATCCAGACTTGACATTTGGGATTCAGACATTTCGACGAGGGACTATTTGGGCTTGTGCCGAAGACTTGGTGTTGACGACATTCCCATCTTCCCCCTCCTCTTCGTCTATCCCCTATGGGCTGGCGCATTCTTCCTGTGTGAAGCGCCAGGCCCCATTCACACCATGTAACGATGATGATGACGTATGTTCAGGACTGCATTGCAACATTGATTGTTCGGATCACTGGTATCTAAGTCTTCCGTTGTGCTATCTTATACTTTGTATTGAAAGGTCGGTTCTTGTTCTGGTCTGCACGTTACAGTATGCAACACCTATACTGCCCTACGAACCGTATCCCTACAAACTCTCTCTACTCTGTTCTCCGCACCTATACTCATTGCCTTACCAACAGTGCATCCATATAAACTCTCTCTACTCTTCTTCTTCTAGCGATGAGTCAACCTCCTCCACCACATAATTCGCAAGATGAAGAGCAGTAGAAAGAAGCTCACAAGGTCCTACGACGAGTAGTAGCGTACATCCATTCTTCTTCTTCTCGCAATGAGCCGACCTCCTCCACCACATAGTTCGCGAGAGGAAGGTTGTCAAGGAAGAGATACAAAGTCAAAACCCCCCCCATCAATCCGCTTTACCCCACTCCAGCAAGACTTAATGCAGCAGAGCCACCATCTCCAGTGCTGCTATACCCTATTCTCATCCTACCAGCTAGCCCCCTCACTAGTAGGATGCGTGATATCCCACTGTCTACTTCTCAGACTCACCCTGATTCAGGATAGCCAAATGACGAACTTATGGCCCCAGAGACCAGCAAGCACCACGGTTCTGCCTTCATCCTCGAAAAGGAGATCCCAAGTAAGTTCAGATGAAGTCGGCTGACCACGGCCAGTACCCATCCAGACTCCGGTCAATGCCAATCTCATCTGTTCCCAACCACCCCCATCAGAACCCCCTTCACCCTCCCCAACTCCGTCCTCGTAACGAGTTCGGGAAGCCATATCCTCAGCAAGAGCCAGACATCCTCATCCCGCAATCTCCTTCCCCCTCACAGATTCCAGTCTCCGTCCTCGAGGGGGTGAGCCAGTGTTGCCCGACACCGATCGCACCAGGGTGAACCGTCATCAGTCGGTACCCATTCGGCAACCAAAGCTGCCCGACGCCAATCTCATCCAGTGAAAGATCCCCCAGCGGTACCCATCGGTCGACACTGATTCAACCCCTCTCCGTCCTCACAAAGAGTCATCTTGTGCCCCTTGCCCTCCGCCTTGAACAGATTCCTCAAAGCTCAACAGAACCTCTACTCGCCTGTCCCAACCAGGACCCGCATACGAATTTACGAATTTGCGAAATTCTAAGTCAAGATAGGAGAAACCTTCAAACGGATTGCCAAGATCAAACAATCAAAGATTAGGTCAAGCCATACAGTAGCAAGATTTTTGAAAATCAAGAGTACCTACCTCTTGAATTATAGCGTCCAATGAAACGAATGTATGAAATTTCAAAATTTTGAAATAGGCAAACAGATCAGATAAGACTTAAATCCTAATTTCGAACCTCAAGATCAGAATTATTAATTGAGAGGACGAACCTCAAACTAAGAATATTGCTAAGATATTGCCAAGAAGTAAACCAGAGAAATTACATTGAGAAATTCTAAAATTTGAATAAAGAATTAAAAAAAACTATTGCGATAGTGCTTATTCTGCGAGCATTTGATAGCAGCAGAATTTATTCCGTGAACATTGGGAAATTAAATTCAGTCAATCATTGAAAATTTATGAACTACGAACAAAGGCGGATTATAAATTATATTATGTACTTATTGTGGAAAATCAAAAGAAATTACCGACAAAGATATAATCCAGAAATGGGTATGCAGACTAATCAAAGAATGCTGAGTGATCCCCGACCCCTGTGCTTCCACAAAAGAACAGCCAGCGAGGACACGGATGCTCCTCCTCAGCTCATCTCGAATGTTGTATCTCTTAACTCATCCTGTACGCGTGACGAATTCCCACCCACTCACTCCACGTGGCAACCCCTTCATCCGCAGCAACCTTAAAACCCTTCAGGGCTGCTTTACCGCATTCACCAGGTCACCATGAAGCCAAAAAAACACCTGGCGATTGGCGCCGAAATGATAACTCTGCGATTCCCCCCCTCGCACAACTACATCAGCCCGTGACATAGAATTCCGCGTGGAGCAAGAAAATTAGTGTAACCTCGCACGCGCCCTCTGTCCTTCTACTTGCGACTCATTTACAGTTGGGATTGACTTCAACAATAATGGACGGGAAAACCTGGGCGAAGCCTGCTGTCTTCTATCATGTACTTGTTCGCCCTAGCCACACTCCAATGGGCTTGCAACACTGCACTTGGCCACCATCTCCACTCCTCCACTCATGCTGCGTCAAACCACTCACCATCACTCTTAACTACCACTTTCCACAATCCACGCATGAGGGAGGAACCACCCACCAATGAGGAAAAAACGTAACCAAAAAGACGACGGCTCATCCACAAAACAGCAGCAATAGCGCAATAAGCAGTTGTGATAGCCACCGAGCTCACCCTTCCAGACAGCGCCGCCGGCGTTGATGTGGACGAACATCTTGGAGGTGAGCCATCCGATACGCGGGTGACGTTCCTTTTTCTTTTGTTTTCATTTCTGGTGTGTTGTTTTTTTTTTGTTTTTTTTTTGT